AACTACAAGAACATTGTTAGTAGCATCTAATGTTCGACATTTGTACTGGGTTGAGGCCATTTCCATTACCATTTATCTCATCAATCGGTTGCTAATTTCTGGTTTAGTTCATTCACCATAGGAACTCATATTTCATTCCTCAACTGATTACTCCAAATTTAAAATATTTGGTTGCGGCTGCTTTCCATGGTTAAAACCATATATTTAATCCAAATTAGAAGGTAAAAGCAAGAAGTGTGTCTTGGGCTATAGTTTACAGCACAAGGGCTATAAATGCCTTGATCCAGAGACACTAAGAATGTATATTTCCAGATGTGCAATTTGATGCATCTACTTTCCCATTTCTTTCATCTATATCTGCTACTACTACAACTTCGTCATCACAACTTGAGTCTTCTCAAATTGATGTGGAATTCTCAGCATTACACAAAGCTTCATCTCAATCTACAAATCATATTTTCTCTTCTCCCAATTCTAATCATGTGCATTCTTCAACTACATAACAATTATAGTTCTTCCTCTCTCAGAACAAACTGTGCATGATCCACCCTCATCATCTCCTACTGCTTCAAAACATGTTGTCTCAGATCATGTTGCCTCAAGATATGTTGTTAACACACATCTAATGATCACAAGATTTAAGGCAGGTATTTTCAAACCTAAGGTCTTCTCTGCAACAAAACATCCTTTACCATCCTTTGTTGATTTTGTTCCATCAACTTATCTACAAGCTTCTATGTACTCTCATTAGAGATTTGATATGCAAAAAGAATTTAATGCCTTGCAAGTCACACGAACTTGGTCATTAGTTCCTCTTTCTGCCACTCACAATATTGTTGGTTGTAAATGGGTTTTCAGAATAAAAAATAAATAAATAATTTATATAAAAATGAATAAATAAATAAATTTAAAAAAAAAAAAAAACTGATGGTGCTATGGACAGATACAAGGCTAGGCTAGTAGCTAAAGGTTTCCATTAACAAGAAGACATTGATTACCAGTCTAGTGTCTAAACCAGTAACCATTAGGATCTTGTTAACTTTAACTGTTTGGCTTTATTGGTTTCTAAATTAATTAGATATCAATAATGCCTTTCTTCATGGAGATTTAAAAGAGGATGTTTGTATGCAACAACCACCAGGGTTCATTGATTCTGACTTTCTTCATCATGTCTACAAGTTAAGGAAGTCTTTGTATAAGTTAAAACAAGCTCCTAGAGCTTGGTTTGATAAATTGTTTCAAGCTCTGCATAACTTTGGTTTCAAACAATCCTCTTATAATGCTTCTCTATTTGCACTCAAAGCTCTCGTTCTTGTCATTGTCTTGCTGTATGTGGATGAAATCTTAGTTACAGGACCAAATGCTTTTATTTATCAAAAATTCATTCACAAGCTCATCCAAGTCTTTCTAGTTAAAGACGTAGAACCACTACCTTATTTCTTAGGCTTAGAAGTCAAAGCAAGTACTTGCTTGATCTTCTTACCAAAACAAATATGCTAGGAGCAAAACCCTGCACTACACCTCTTGTCACAACTAAACTTGACCACAGTAGTCCATTCTTGTCCAATCTTGCTAAAGACGAGTTAATTGTTGGAGACCTTGAATACCTCACTTGGACAAGACCTGATCTTTCATTTGTAGTAAATTAGGTATGCCAATTTATGCATTCTCCTAGAGAACAACACATACAGACAGCCAAAACAGTTATCAAGCTTCTTAAAGGTACAATTACTCATGGATCATGGTTCAAAAAGCGTTATCTTCATCTCTCTGCATATTCAGATGCATATTAGGTTGGTTGTACCTTTGATAGAAGATATACAAGTGGTTTTTGCATCTTTTGGGTAATAAACTCATCATTTGGAGTGCTAAGAAGCAACCAACAGTTGCTAAATCATCTAAAGAGGCATAGTACAAATCATTAGCACACACAGCTGCTGAAATCACTTGGGTTTGCAAAGTTTTCTGTGATATTGGCTTCCCATTGTCCAAAATTCCAACTCTTTGGTGTGACAATCTATTAGCCATTTCTCTTGCTTCAAATCCGGTTTGTCATGCTAGGACAAAGCATGTTGAAATAGATTACCATTACCTTCAAGAATTGGTCCTAGCTAATCTTATCAAGGTTTGTTAAGTTTGCAGCCAAGATCAATTGGTTGATATTCATACCAAGTCCTTGTCAAAGAATTGGTTCATATTTCTCCCATCCAAGCTTCCACTTGACTTTATGTAAAGAGGAAAATGTATCTTATCCTACCAAGTGTATATTAAGCAGGTGAAATGGCATCTACTTGATCGATGGTTAGCGTCTACTAGCGAATCTAGCCTCTAATAGAAACATAAGTACCTACAATAATCCTATGCTTGTAGCTAGTTATATGATATGTATGATGACTATGTGGTGAAAATAAATCACCAATAGCCTCAAGATATCACTTAAGTCTAACTAGAAATTAGTCTCCTCAAAGACCATCAATAATAATAATATGCGTCAACGTATAATAATTTAAAATATTTAGTTTTAAAGGATCCACTCACAAGTAATGAATGCGTCCTTCCTTGTTAAACTCCTTGGCTGAATTTTTTTTTTAACCTCAATTAAACCTGTGAATTAATTATAAAGCTGAAAATAAGCTTTAAAGACATTCTATGGAAAATCGTCTAAAACTACTTTTTAGACATCAAATTTGTACAAATGGAGGGCACCACATGATTGAGAACATCGAAAAATGCTTAGATAGGTATCGGGTTCTGCACACATCGCCACACACACTATTATCCACGCGTTGCCACGATGGTGTCATGCAACGGGAAGACGCACCACCGTGGGGTTGCCGTCATCTTTGCCACACACCCCCGGTTGTCGGTGAATGTGATTGAAGAAAACATAATATACTTGCTATGAGGGAATATGACGTCAAATCTAACGGTATCGTTGCTGTCACCTTTAAGTTCAACGTAGACTACTGGCGCCATCGTCGGAAACTACAAAAATTGCAGATTACAATTAGGCTAGTTTTGAAGCCCGAATTCGATGGGTTTTTAGTCCAAACTTAACCAAAATCATCCCAAGAGACTAGAAAACTCACCTAAACACATATTAGGGCTAGTGGGGGTTGAATCCACCTCGGAATCGCTCGTCGAGTTTCATCGCAAGATTTTGGAAACGAAAATCGAGAGCATGCATGTTAGTTTCATTGAGTTTTGTAGCTCAAAATTCACCCAAAACAATATTAACAATTACGTGGGATAGGTTTTAGCTAGACTTGAGCATCACCGATCACAAACTTGTTAGAGTTTGAGCTTCCATACTAGTCAAAGTTAAAAATGAGACACAACTTTGATGTGATGCATATTGAGAAAATTTGAGTGATACATTGGTGGGGGAAAATTCTAGACATTAAAGGAAAGTCAATGGACACGGTCAAAGCTCGCCTCGATTTGAAACAGATAGCATACGTAGACCCTTGTGGCAAAAGAAACGTAGTGACAAAATGAGAAAGGGCCATTGGTCTGTGACAATTAAACCGGCAGGGAAGAAAGAGTTTTTAAAGTTTCATTCTTCTATAAAGTTTCCAGAAGGGTATGCTTCCAATATCTCGCTTTGTGTGATCCGTAACCCTAAACCCTAAGCCCTAAATTAGGTTAGTTTAGGTTAGTTTTGGGAGATGAAAATCGTGTTTCGCCACCTAAATGATCTTGGCATGACGAAATTTAATATATTTGTCTATTGGATCTTTACGCGACGAATTTTCAACTTTTGTTGCTTAAACTTCCCCTAGTTATTATTTTCAAAATTTACGATATTGCGTCGTGCTAGGCTATTACCAACGAAGTTTTATTGAGCATAGTAATCACAAAAAACAAGTCACATAGATCAAAATAATTTTTGTTTTTTTTTTTTTTTTTTTTTTTTTTTTTTTTTTTAAGTTTGTACATATTATGGAACTATTAGATGATATTCAAAGTACATAAGTGATATAATGTGATTTACATACTAATGACCATACTTTGACCCTAAGATTACTCGCGCTATGATATTACCAACGACATTTTATTATACATACTAATGACCATACTTTGACCCTAAGATTACTTAATCATACTCCTCGTACATTAAGAGGTACCTTTGAAGTTTGCAAATGTTACGGCCCTATTAGATGATGTTCAAAGTACATAAGTGATATAATGTGATCGACATTTGAAAAGTAGATTTTAAAATATGAGGTGCTCAAGTCGTCCACTGCTTCGGTGATCCATCCATAGCTGAGCGCTTGTCAGACTTCTCGTCGACGTCATGTAGCTGACTAGCCATTTGACACTCCCGCAGCATCAACAGTTGAGGGAGATAGATCGCACACGGGTGGTAAGCAAATTTAGTGTTTAACATAAAGGATCTCATGCCAACAAGATAAATAGGTCGCAAATGAAACTTCTTCACTACTCGAGTTTGAAGCCCTTGTCTTATAGGTTGGAGAAGCGAGGAGAAGTAAAAGTATATTATTTTAAACTTTCAATATATAGTGAATTTTATTAAAATTATTTTATTATTTTTTAACATAATCAAATAATCTTAATTATTTTTTTAATATGTATACTCAAATCTATTGAGTCGGTCTGGTAAAGCTTGAGCTTTGGTTAAGTCAATAAGAACATGCTATGTAAATAATATACAAATAATTGTCAAAGAACTAAAAATGAATACGTGAAACCAAACACTCCCCCCGATTCCCTCCCAAAATCAATACAATAATCCACCAACTTAATAAATAAATAACCAAATTCTAAAAAAAACATAAAGAATAAACCAACTAGCACACATTATTTTGTTGGGGATGGGAACACAATATTTAAATCTTATTTAATGTAAAAACTGAAATTAAAATGAAATGAAATTAAGGAAGGTATGAAACACGCTTGTGTTCCAACTCCAAAATATTAAATCACACAAATTTAATCAAAGAGAAGATTTGCCTGCACCTTCACTGCAACTAGTTAATTAATATTAAACTAATTAATTAACTGATTAATTAAGACTCAAAGCTTGAAAACAGTTATTTGACCATTCAGCTATGGCTTACTCCCCACTATGAAGTATAAACCCAACCCTTCACACCCTTCCTTCCTTGTCACCCACTCAACGCACAACTCTGAAAAACAACCTCAAAACCTTCTGCTCCAAGCCTCCCATCACCATGAGCTTTTCAGCAGTAACAACATCGGCCGTCGATCAGGGCGACGGAGCTTCAATCTCCGCCATCCATCCCGACATCATCACTGCTCACATCCTTACCCGCCTCGACGGCCAGACCTTGGCTGCCGCGGCCTGCGCTTCCTCCGAATTACGTGCCTTCTCCGCCGAAGAAAAACTGTGGCGGGACGTCAGCACCTCCACTTGGCCTTCCATCACCGATCCACGTGTCGAGGACCTCATTTCCACTTTCCCTGCCGGTCACCGCTCATTCTTCTCCGACTCTTTCCCGCTCCTCGACCACTCCCCCTCCCAATACAATCTCAGGTGTTCGTCTCCCACCGCGGAGTTAATCTCGGCCGTCGATATTTTTTACAAAGACCAGCTCATTTTCTCGAAAGTTGAAGAGTCCGAAACCGAGTCCGGGTGGTTCCTCTTCTCGCCCTTCCGAGTTGAATTACTTGACAGGAAAGAAACCGTCCCAATACCAATCCGACATGTCGGGGAAGACCAAAAGTCGTTGAAGCACTTGGAGGACAACTTGAGCCTGAGCTGGATCGTGATCGACCCGGCCCGGAAACGGGCGGCGAACTTGTCGAGCCGGAGGGCGGTGACGGTGCAGCGGCACTGGCTAACGAGGGAGATACAGCTGCGCTTCGCGACGATTTTGGCGAGGGAGAAGAAGGGGGAGTATGTACAGTGTGGGATGGTGGTCACGTGCAAGGGAAGCGAAGGAGGGGAGCTGCATGTGAGAGAGGTGAGCATGCAGGTGGAGGGAATGGAGGGGAACCACTTGAACGGCAGGGAGAGTTTGGTAATTTTGCAGAGAGCAATCGAGGGAGGGATGAGGAGAAAGGAGGTAAACGGGAAGGCAAGGTTCGATGAATACTTGGTGATGAAGAGAGAGAGGAGAGAGAGAAAGGAGAGGAGAGAGAATGCCTTGGACATGATCTGCATTGCTGCTGGGGTTACTATTTTCTTGGCGTTCTGGTCATTTGTCTTGTTCAGATAAACAATAATGAACCCAGAAACGGAAACAGAATGGTTTTATTTAATTTACAGTTAATTACACATTTTAATTAATTAATTCTTTAAACCAAAGTATATAGAAAAGTTCATACAAAGAAGCAAAATGGATATTTGTAATTAATTTTTTATTACAAATCTTGGCTCTTTTGAGTGTGTTTATATATATATGTTTTTGTGCGTGCTGTGTGTAAAAGAAGCTGAAATGTAATATACATGTTTATATAATCAAATTACAATTTTTTTTTATACAATCAAATTACAAATATTAGGATGATAGAATACATAATCAAATCAATATACTTACAACACAAAGTTCTCTCTCTCTCTCTCGTTTAATTACGCAATGTTTAATTACATAATCAAATCAATATACTTACAATCACAATATTTAAATTTATGTCAAAGATAAGGCAGAAGTACATTACGGTTGGAGTGGCTATAGTCTAGACTAAATTTATTACTTTTAAATTATGAAAGAACAAAAATTGTCTAATTCGAAACTTCCCCGACTTTCTTTGATAAAATTAGCCTACCTTGAACAGAAAATGAAAATTCCCACCCTTACAAACTTTCCTAACTCCGCCCCTGTTCAGAATCAATAATTCTAACCTAGAAAAATTTGTGAACCAATATGTTGATATCTTATAGTTGATCATAAAGTATTATATTGCTCTAGATTCAAATATATAAATATATATACATAACTAGAAAGTCGTGTCATTTGGACTAGTAAATTGAGTAGAGTAATAAATACGGTGAATAAACTAAGGGTATTGATAAATAGACCAAAATTTTAAATCACAAGATGTGGCTGTTAATAAATAAATTATTACTTAAGTGTTGTCACTATTTAGTTTACAAATTTGATTTAAAAATTTAATCAATCTAACATTACCCATAATTAAATCCCCATGCGTCTATTTTGTTAATTATTAATGAAGTGATTCACATTACTTAATTATTGGTGATTTCATATTAAACAAAAAGTCATGTTGTTTGCATGTATCATATTAATGTCTTCACATCACCAACTTTTATATGCATGTATCGTACTCTGATTAATATATAGACTAAAACGAAAAGAATAAACTATTTATTTTTGGAAATTGAAATATGTTTGGTAGAGAAAGTCAGAAATGGGAAACGATCTATTGGATTAATCTTTGACTTTGATTTGGCCGGCCGCTCTTTCCATGCTTTTGGTCTTTTTCACGATGGTTTACGCGGGCCGGCGCTCCTGCAGGGTTGAATGTTTTGCAAATCTTACTCTGAAAAGTCCAATCCATCACTAGTTATCTCTTTCCGGTCTTATCAAACTAAATTATAAGAAAATTACAAATAATATTTTTCTAATATGTCCCAACGTCATGGAGGATGGTGGATGTGTATATAATTTCTTTGGTTATAGTTTAGTGGCTTAATTTTGTTTTGTTAGTAAGGTCCCTTTTTATGTTAAACTCGTTTAATAACTACTTTTATATGCAGTTTAAAAAGCTGAAAGTAATTTTTTTAGTTTTTAAATTTCAATTTTCAATTTTTCAGTTTTCAAAAATGTGAAAAACAAAGTGGTTATCAAACAATTTCTAAGTTAATCACTTAAGTCGCTTTAAGCTTGCGGGTATTTGGATTGTCCATCCAATTCCTTGTTAAGTCAAGGAGTAATGCTTGGAAGACTAAATTGGGAGACAAAATTTTGAAAACTAAAAGACATGGAAGTTGATGATTGACTTATTACTTAGTTTGCAAGTTTTCTCTCCAAATTTAGTCTCCCTAGTATACCCTAAATCAAATATTAAAGATCGCACGCCAATATGAACAAAATCTAAGTCATCGCTTCAATGGAAGGAAAAGAACAAAATGAGCAATTCCTAGAATCCTAGTAGCCATATTCTTCCAGCTGATTTGTGTTCAATCATTCAACTACAAGACTCTGATGGCGTGTTCACTAAAGAGGAATGGAGGGGACGGTAATGGAATTGCACACTCTTCGACCGCACCCAATTCCGGAATTGAACTCCTGAAATTGGCGGAGTGGGTTCTCTAGATTAAGCTAGTATTTGAGTTTCGGATATTGGTGGCCATCCGGAATACAACGTTTCTTCCGAGATTGCCCTTCTATAATTTTGCTTATTACAAAATAATCTACAACTTCGCCACCAACAAGCAGACACTATATCAGTCTTCTCCAATCCCACCAATTTCCATTAGAGGACTCATGCCACCGGACCCTGTTCTCCTGGTTGCTTGCAGAACCTATTAACGAAAACGATAATTGATTGAGGATGATAGGAGGCATCGTGAAGGTTTATGTATCTGGACAAGTGGGAGGGCTGTTGGAAAAGAAAAGACAAGAAAGACAAGTGATCTGTAGAATGAAAGGGGAAGGCGTGGGGTCTATGCATCTGGGCAAAGGGTTGGAATGAGGATGATGAAGATCAGGAAGAAGAAATAGTTTTTTTTATCAAATAAAAAAGGGGTGGGAATGGATGAGGATGCAAAACCTTACGGGATGAAATTTATTAATATGATATAAAATTAAATTTCAATAACTAGCATGAAAAAAAAAAAATCATGTTATACAAAGTATTTTAGTAATCAAGCTAGTCTTAATTCTGAATGAGGTGAACTACTAAACAAGTTATATGAAATCAATATCATTTTTACTCCGATTCTAGCTAGTATAGTAAACAATCTTAACAGGAATATAATTTTGTTTCCTCCTATGATGACCCGTCCCTTTTTTCTATGTAATTTTCTCCTCGAGTGTGTAAAGTGATGATTATGCCCTGGTTAGCTAAGTGACGTGGATGTACATATGTGGTTTTACATTATTTTGATCACCATCATTATCCACCAATTATTTTGATTCCCACTATCCCTAGCCCAATTAGATATTTTCTCTTTCTTTTGGACCAATTAAAATTATCTTTCTCTCATCTGCCAAATCAAACCCAAGCTCTCTCTCTCTCTCTCTCTCTCTCTCGCACTTTCTTCATTGTTCTTCTTAAACCCGAGCCATCACCACCTTTTAACCATCATCAAACCATCGTGGATCAAGCCAAAAAAATCACCATAGTGCTCATCTTGACCTCACAAACTTAATCGTACCAATCGTTTCTCGTTTTAACGAGTTTTGACCTGTTGACTCGTGAACTCCGACTCGATAGTTCTTAGGCCATCATGATCGTGGCCAAGTTGCGAGGTTTTAAGGATCAAGAAAGTTTCTACCCAACTCCCTAAGGACCCTAGACTAAGTTTGGAAAGGAGTTGACGTCGGATCACGCGAATTCGAGAAGTTTCAGTTTTGGCCGGAACTTTCGAGGGATTTTCAGGCCATTTTTCACTTGATTTTGGACTTTTAAAAGGTACAAACTTGTTCTACTCCTCAAGAGCTTCAAATCCATATAAATTTCATGGATTTTGGTTGAGAAATGAGCTAGATATTGAGGTTTGAAAAATTTCCCAGAATCTGGCGAACCAGACGGCGATGCTGACGACAGCGGACGGCGAAGCACGCCGAAGAAGAAGGTGAATATTCCATGAAAGTTGACGGAATATTCTGACGGCATCAGATAACGCCGTTACCATTTAACGAAATATTCCGTGTATTCTGAAGAAATATTCCTAGCGTCTGTTAGGGTTCCGTCAGTGTATGTTGTGCACGTGCCTCCGTGTAGCTGTGGGCTGAATGGTGCGTGAGGGCGTGTCAGGCTTCCGACCAGTGAGTGGTTTTTACATACGGGTCTGTGACTTCGAGTAGAACATTTTTGTATATTTAAACCTTCCGTTTGAGCAAACTATGAGAAGTTATTCTTAGATTCTTGCGTATGTGCTATATAATTAACTAAAAAAGTTGTTTTGCATATAGGGGAGACTTACCCCAAGGACGAATGCAAACAAGCGAGGCTAAGGGGCTACGATCCTTCGACATATCAGTGAATGGGCATTTGTTTTCATATATATATATATATATATATATATATATATATCTTACGGTTCCAGAAATGTTTTAAATTGATTATGCATAGCATGCCATGATTTAAATGTGTTATATTTAAATATTGCATTATGATGAGATTTGTGATTGTGTCAAATGATCCTACGAAGGCGCAGGTAAGTTCAGGTGAGTTATTATGTGATTGAAATGGTTGCATTATATAAGCATGTATATATTCATTTAGAGCTCATCATTGCTGCACCCCGGTTTTAGTGCTCCCGCCCTGGGCAGGGCATAGCCCTCACGTGTATGTTCACCTCCAGCACCACACACTCGTCTTGGATCCAAGTAAGTGCTAGCCTGTCGTACAGACTGCACTAGGCAGTTCCGACTCGTAGGTGACCAGCGATTTATCGCTAGCCATCACTTGATCGTAGCACTAGAGTGTACATATTTACACACAGCCTGTCGTACAGGTCACACTAGGTGACTCTGATTCGTGTGCTAACATAGATTGATAAGCAATAGGTCCAGTCGTACGGGTCACTTTAGGTGACTCCGACTGGCATACTAGTTAGATTGATTTCACACCTGGCTTACGCTTATTATTGTTGAGATATCGTGGAATGGCATGCTTCCATTTTCACTGCACTCAGGCATTCATTTCCGTACTTATGTAATATTATTTTCTGGAAACTATACGAGTTTTACAGTGAGGGGTTATTACGTTTAGAAAAGAGAAATGTGTTATCTAAAGTTATGTTTTTGCCCACTCACCCTTCTATTTTTCACCCCTCCAGGTCCTAGATAGTCGTTCTCTTTTGATGGCACACGAGGAATAATCGGCAGTTCTGACACTCCATTAAATAATGTAGGGATATTTTATCTTTAGTTGTGTATTTAGTACTTAATCAGTTCAACTGCACCTTTATGTTATCTATGCTCTAAATGTTTGTAGTTGGGGTTGACCACTTACGCATACTTACTTAATTCTAGCTTAAATAAGTTTTAATTTGGTTTTTATTTGTTCACATTCTTATTTACTTTTTCTGCACTTTTGGCTACGTCACTGTCACGTGACGGCTAGCATGCCTTGACTTCGGTCGGGGTATGTCAGTTTGGTATCAGAGCATAGGTTTAGCAGTCCTGCATTCTTCGCTTGTATTATAAGTCCTAATCATTTTTTATCTTTTATGTCAAAACATGCCGCCTCGTAAAGAGCCACATGTTCCCTCTAAGTCTAATTTTCCAGATTTTGGACAAGTTGGTTAAGCTATTGCTAATGCTATTAAGTCCTCACTTCTTCCT